GGCCCCTCCGTCACCAGGCCTGCTCCCCGCCCCTTCTGAGTTGCGCCCCTGGGGCCTGCCCACCAGAAGGGAATCTGAGCCCTTCCACGTCGACCCGGGAAAGGCAGGAATTTCGCCACCATTTCAGATCCAGCCTGGTGCTTGGAAGCCAGGCTGGCCTCTCCCAAGGTCAGCCCTGGCTAGGCGGGCCCCTGGGCACCTCCAGGCAGTAGAACCCTGCTTCCCTCCGAGCCCCTCCGGTCTCCACTGGGGCTGGGTAGAGCCCAGGGTCTTTCTGAAAGTCGGTCACATTCCACCCCCCTCAAGGCCTCCTGTTTGCCGCCTGCCTCAAATGAAGACCAGCCTCAACAGCCGCCAGCACCAGGTCACTCAGATGGAGAAAGGGCCTCCCCACTGCCTTCCCCCACCTCCCCCCACCCCCTCTCCGCCGCCGGGGGGGCTCTGGGTCACAAGCCTCCTAGAGGCCCCAGTCCTGACCCTGCCCAGGCCCCTCTGGCCTCCGCTCTCTCACTGGCTCTCTCTCTGAGCAAGGCCTTGCCTGGTCACTCCTTGCTTGGGAGAAAGGCTGGGTGAGGGAAAGGGCGCTGGCATGGAGACCCCTGCGCCCCCAGGGGCCCTGCCCACCCTCCTCAACAGGGGCCTTCAGCCTGGGCAGCACCCTGGAGGGACAGGGCCTGTGCTGACTAGGCCTCAGATCAGGCTCCGGGCTTTGCCAGGAGCCCTGGAAGGGTCCCCCTCGGAGACAGGCACGTCCTGACGGGAGAACCCGCGTCTGGGCAGCCTGGGCAGAGCCGCAACCGAGGCAGCCAAGGCCAGGCCAGTGTGGGCGTCCTCTGGGGAGAGGCAGGTCCCAGGGGCTCCAGCAGGGCCGCTCAGGGACACGGCCACTCCCAGACCTCCAGGCCACCAGGAGGGAGTGCTGGGGGAAGGCCAGGCGACCGCCCCCAGCTCCCCGTATCACATGTCCGCTACAGGCGACTGTGTTTTGAGCTTAAAGCCATTTTTTTCTCATTTCACAACAAATTTTTTTGAATAATACTTTATTTTTACATCATTTTGTGCCTTTTCCCATTTCAGTTGTAATCCCCGTGGGGCTTAAAGCCAGACAGAACACGGCCAGCGGGTCCGCAGTGGCCTGGGCGCGGCCGAGGAGGGGTGCAGACAGGGGGCCCGCTGGACAAGGCTCGGTCTTCCACAGAGCCCTTCAGCTACTTTTTGAGACTCAAGCAAAGCGAGCCCCAGAGCTCGGGATTGTCATGGGCAGGACAGCAGCACCCACCCCATAAACCGTGCATCCCCACTGCCTGGGTGCCCCAAGGCCTGGCGACTCACACACCCAGGCTCCCCCGCGGCCCCCAGCACAAAGGTCCTGCCCGGGTCTGCCCGGGGGTGCCCTGAGTCCTGCTCTCTAGGGCTACTTCCAGCCTGACTCCAACGCTGACCCCTCCGAAAGCGAATCTAGAGCGTGGGGTGTGGTCTGCGTGCAAATACAGTAGTTTCTCTCTGGAAGTGGAATCAGGGGTCACAGAGCCTGGAGCGGGGGCTGGGGGCATCTCAGAGTGCGCCCCAGACGCCCCTGGCGGGGGCGGCCGCCTGCAACAGCTGACCAACCAGAGGGCCGCCTGCCCCACTCCGGCCCCCCTCGCCTGACCTGCAGGAGCCAGCAAGGCTGAGGGGCCGCTCCACCCTGCGGTGGAGCCAGTGAGGGCCAGCGGGCAGCAGATGTGGCGGTCTGTGCCAGGGCGAGGACGGCCCGCCCTGCGAGAGACCCCGGCAGGGCGTGTCGCCTGCGAGCCGTGTCCCCTCTCGGCCAGCAGCTGAGCTGCCCGGTGGCCGGCAGGCCCGCCGCTGAGCAGAGGCCTCTCAGTGCACCACTGCCCGCCCGCTTCTGCCCCCCGGTGTCAGCCTAGGACGCTTAGTCTGTTTATGCCTTAGAGATGTTATGGAAACTTCGCCTGGCTTCTTGGTCTCTGACACAAGGATTTCCTCCTTGAATACACAGGTGGGGGTCCCTGGGAGGGGCCCCAGCTCAGCCCCCACCCCCCCGCAGCGCCCGCCCCACAGCCGTCCCTGAGTTGGGCTCCAGTCCCCAACTGAGGAGGCTCCCAGGACTGGGGGCACCTCCCAGAGGCCCCCAGGGGTCCGCGTCCTCGGGCAGGCCCTAGGAACCTCCTGCTCCTGTGTTTCTGGTCCCTGGCCAGAACCTCCCGCAGCAGCAGGGCGGGCGGACTGGGGTGCCCACGGGTGCCCGCTGCATGCTGGTCTGCCGACGTGAGCGTGACCCACTGCGGCCCCGAGGCCACAGGGGATGGTGAGAGCCCAGGCCCAAGGACTGCGGGGCATGGTCACGCGCGTCTGTACCCCCAGATCGTGTACCCAACAGTGCTGCAGGAAAATGTGTGACTGTCCGGAAGCAGCTGACAGCCGGGTCATGGGCGTGGGGCGTGCGGTTCCTGAGTGGGGGGCGGCGGTGGGGGGTGACCTGAGGTATGTGGGGTGTGGGCACTGTGGTGCCGCCTCCTGCTCCCCGAAGCTGGCCCCGGGGTCTCCTCCCACAGCGGACTTCAGGACTGTGGCTGAGGGCCCCTCTCGTGGCACCATGTATTTTCGACACTGCACCCCTCTTACCAGGTCCCACTTTTCTTCCTTGAGATCACAGCGTCTCATAGAGCTGCGGAAGGCAGGGACCAGGTCCCCCCTTCTGTGCCCCTTGGGTGCTGGTGCCCCACGGCCCAGCCCCAAGGGTTAGGGGTGTGGTGCCTCCACCCGCAGCCTCGCCTGTCTGAATTAGGTCCTAGTCTCCCCAGTACAGATCTGTCCTGCGTGTGCGCATGGGGTGGACAGGGGGCGCTTGAGGAGGCCACTGCCCCAACTCTGGACAATGGGAAAGCACCAGGCCCCGGCAGGGTAGCCCAGAACAGATGCTGGGGAAAAACGAAGCCACCCGACATGAGTCTGCTCAGAGCAGCTGGCCTGGTCGTGAACCCCAGGGGTTCACCTGCCCCATGGGAGGCAGCCACCCTTGAAATTCATGCCCAGGAATGAAGGTAGCAGGCGTCACACCAAGCTCCAGGTCCCCGCCCACCCCTGGCCTGCCCTCACCTAGGCCTGGCTGTGGAACCTTTGTCCCCAGGCCAGAGAGTATCTTCGGGGGGAGCCCCCAGCTGCACCCCTAGAGGAACAGCTGCTGGCATTTGCAGGAAGCAGCTGGGCAGCCCCCAGGAACAGCCCACAGGGTCCCAGGAGACCCATGCTCGCCCCAGAAGGAGCCAGCCACGGGGTAGGCGCGTGGCAGTGAGCAATCAGGGGCATGGCTGGCAGCCGGTGTGCCCCACCCCAGGACACGGGAGGTGACACCCTCGGAAAGGACCTTCTGGCTAGAAACTGCACGAAATCCGATGTCGGAAACTCTTTGTCCCCATCACGGGTTGTTGGGGGACAGAGCAGGCAGGGTCTTAAAGTGGGGGTGTTAGAGTCCAAGAAATGCCGAGACACAGAACCGAAGCAGAAGACAAGCAAGCACACGCCTTTATTGCTGGCCGGGGCTGGGGTCCGATCCCTGGGGTGCACCAACACAGCGGGCTCGTCCAGACGGGATGGACCCCCAGCCTCTGAACAGAGGGTCTTCTGTAGCGAAATTCGTGGGCTGGGAAATTTCCAAAGTATGGAGTCCGTTAGGATGAGTCACTCAGATCCTCCTTCGTGCAGGTGGTAACTGCAAGCAATGTCCTGCTGGCGCCTGGGCTTCTGATAGCATCCAGGGCCTTCGACAACATCCGGTTAGTTTCTAACCACAAGCAACATTCCAATATTTTAACAGGAGCTGCACTGGCAAGCGGAGATTCCTAGAAAAAGGGGAAAAGGGGAGCAGGCGCGAGGAAGACGGGGAGTCCAGTTAGGTGCGAGTCTTCCTGCTCTGCCTTCAGCAGAGGTTTATTTTATACATTTCAAGCAGGCAGTGGGATGACATCAGCATATGAAATGGCTGAGATCACAATCACCTTTTTTTCTAAGAATCGTCTGGGGTCGGTTTGACCTTTAGTTGAGATTATAACATTATTCTTAAAATCAATCTATCAAGATTAAAACAGGAACATAGATTCATAAAATTTAAGACTATTATTACTATATTTACTGAGGTGAAGATTAACCAACATGAAGTCCCTTCAACCATATCTACTGCTTAACGGCTTCCATTCTCACTGACACATCCTAGGGGGTAGAGTAAAGTGAGCACAGGGAGGGGAAATTTTCTTGTAAATCAATCACAAAAGGAAAGTTCTAGGAAGACTAATTAGAAAGCTTAAGTGAATTTCCTTGAAGTCTAGACAGTAGAAAACCTGATTAGCTCTGAATAGGGGACCTGGGTGAATTTCCTTATCTAAAGACTAGACAGTAGAAAGTTTAAGTAGTTCTTTAGAAACTGAATACAAGGCTTTGTGGGTAGTAGAGTGAGGAGATTCCATCCGGCAGTAAAATAGTTCCAGTGCTGCCTCAGTATTGACTTTGCTAGAGCAGCCAATTGCTTTGATCAATCAGCCAGTTGTCAAATC